TGAGTTTCACTTTGTCTGTGTTGTTCATGAAGAAGAATCCAATAAAGGTTCTTCAAAACTGCCACCTGGTGGTGAAGTCTTGAACTACAACAAGAGTTACACCTCTCTGTAGCTGTGAGGTGTCATGATACAATATTGTGCTTGATGCATGTGCACTGTTATAAAGAACTTGTCAGATCTACTTGAAAAAATCCTCATAACAATTTGCACTAATGTTTAAGTAAATTTAAATGCTACAAATTCATGTAATATTTACTCATCATTATCTAGTAAAAGTTATTAAGAATATAGTTAAAGATTTGTGAATAAATCAGGTAAATTTTACTTAATTTGATCAACTATATGTTACAAGATTTTATTGAGCAAATTAAGTAAAATTTACCTGATTTATTCACAAATCTTTAACTATATTCTTAATAACTTTTACTAGATAATGATGAGTAAATATTACATGAATTTGTAACATTTAAATTTACTTACCAAACCTTAGTGGAAATCGTTTACAAGATTTTCTCAAGTAAATCTTTTAAGTCACTTTTTTACAGTGTGGGAATGTGCTCAGATAGTTTGTTGTTGTGAAACTGAAGAACCGAGACAACTAGCAACTCATTACTTCACACTGTACTGCTCTGATTTATTTCCCATCCATGACTGTTTCAGCCAAACGGAGGGGATCTGAAGACGGGCTACCTGTCCATGATCCTGGACTCAGAGGACATGCCCATGGATGAGCAGTGTGAGAGGCTCACATATGATGCTAGCAAATGGGAGTTCCCTCGGGACAGACTGAAACTGGGTGAGAAAAGCCTGTTTTTCAAATAACAAGCCATTGTGTTGAACAGCAGATTCAAGTTAAATGTTGTGACGTGTGCAGGGATTAAAACCAAATCCTTCATCTTTGTTAAACCATCCAGTTCTCCTCCTRATGATGTTTAGAAAGACCCCATTACTGTTTGTAATTACATGGACAGTTTGGGAATGCCTGGCCAAAACTGTTGTTACTGTTAAATTAAGTGAGTAAATGTTGCAGCAAATTTCTAATGGATTTCTAGTGCTTCAGCCACTTTTTCTATAAAGTACTTCAACTTCAAAACATTTATTGTGTTGTCTTCTGGGAGGTGGTGGTGGTTTGAAGACAAACTTTGCCCCAGTTTTATCCTCTTGATTGCCAACCTTGATGTGCATTTTTAATTTCACCTAATTACTAAAAATTAGCAGAACCTCATAAATATAAAAACATTGTTTTAGAGCAGTTTGAATTTAGAAATCTGAGAATATATTTGATTAAAAATAAAACCTATTTTCCCTGAATATATTTTCCTGACAMCTGATCTAAAACCAATGTCATCAGCATAGAGAGTATCTGAGAAAGGTACACTGTCTGGATGACAAAAAAGGTCATCACCTGGTTTTAACTAGGCAAACAATAAAGATATTTACTGCATGAGTGATTATGTTTCAACTGACAAGCTTGTGTTATTGACTGGCCGTGACAGTGGGCTGGCCTTGGCCAGCCCACTTCCCCTTAGACTCCCAGAGACGCTCAGCGTCCGATGGGCGGGACAAAGCCAGCATTTATCCAATGACTTGTCTCATTTCRCTGCACTCTTTGCATCGCTAAAACTGGTGCTAAATGCAGACAAAATAAAAATCATGTTTTTTTTCTAATAGAAAGCAGCAACCAGAGAGCCTACCAACAACTGCAACCCAACAGGGACAATAAATTGAAATCTGCTCCACTTACAAATATCTAGGTTTTTACATTGATTCTGACATTTCCTTTAAACCTCACATCGCTAAAATGGCAACCAAGCTCAAACTGAAATTAGGTTTTTATTTCAGAAATAAGTCCTGCTTCTCATGTAAAGCCAGGAAAACAGTAGCTGCAACATTCATGACTATTTTAGACCATTGATTTGATTGATTTGATTTATTGATTTAACAGGAAAAGATCACTAAAAATCAAGCCTGACTCAGCATAATTGCTGTTTT